TTTTTTTTTTAACAACGAGAGTAATTATTTTCAATAATATTATTCATTTACTTTTGTAACTCGTGAACTTGTTTTAATAAGAATTTGTCTATTTTTAGTACATCTTGTCAAATCGTGGTTTGGCCCCCACGAAAGTATTTTATTATGTCATCCATTTTTCAACCCTTTTATTGACAGAGATCGCCCCATCTTTGTTTGATTTCTGAACATATATTTTGACATTATAACACGTTTTCGTGAAATTCAATGAGATCTACAGCCTTTGAGTCATGTAATTCAGACATTGTTGCCGTGTCAGTGGAGGGTGCAATCATTAATGCAGCATATAATTACGATCTTACCCCCTTCTTTATCCCATGTAGCCAAAAAAAAAAGAGATTTCTTTGTTCTTTTCGGCCAACAGTTGACTTTGGAAAAAGGAAATGGACCCCACGAAATAATAAAAGAATGTTGAATAATGTAAATGTATGTGAAAAATAGTGCACTAGGTTATTCTATATAACAATAGGAGTGCAGGTATGGCACATGGGACCCTGTCCTCTTTTAAAATGTGGCAAATAAATTGTCCTCTTTCGAAATGAGGCAAATAATGGCAAATAATGTTTTCACAAAGGGCTAAATGAACAAGAACAAAAAGTACATTTTTTCTAGCCTATATAATTATGTGTTTTCAATATTTACTTATAAGAATTTTTAGCCTTCCAAATTTGCATATCTTACTCCAGACTTGTTGCTGCTTCACTGAAACAGGTCTTTATCTATTTACCCTCTTATATTTTACGTCTTATATTTTAATTATATAGTTTTAAGTTATAACTAATTCGAAGATCGATTGATTTGTACGAAAAAATCTATAGATGCACACAATCTCTTATTCCTTTTATTATAATGTTATAAAAACTTATTTAATCATTCATATGAAAAAAAATGTACATATTATCGCCGTAAAAATTGTACTACTGTAGTGCTTCAAAATGGATGTTCCATGTCGTTTTTACATAACTATCAGTAACTTCCTCAATCACGACATCAATCTGGTTAGTCATACAATATTATTATTATTTAGTTGGAAAGAATTTTTCTCATATTTTACTTATAGTTTTCGTCCGTATATATTTGTTTATAGATGATTCCTAGAGCGTTTGCGAAAGACTGAAGACATGAATTCGGCGATACAATACGTGTAATTGTGTACGATGGTATAATTGCGACAATAAAATTAGAAACAGTTAATGGAAAAATTTATTTAATTGATGGATGGAAGCAATTTTTCGATCATCACAATTTACACGATGATTATTGGCTAATATTTGAATATACCGAAAATTCCACATTTAACGTGATCATAATGGATGATTCTGGGTTAGAAGTGCAATATGAGTCGGACGTCTCCGAAGAAGGTGAAGAAAGCAACAATTCGAATATGGATAATCCTGTATTCGAAGTGAAGTTAACACCTCGTAAATATGGTCATCGAAAAATTGTAATTTTCCTTTTGAATAAATATTTTCA